GATGAATCATCACTCGCTGTACTGGCTGGCGAATCTGCGAGACCCTTCCGGACGACTAGCTCGATGAAGCCTACAATTGCAGAGTATGACCTTACTATCGTGTATAAGTCGGGTCGTGCGCACGAAGAGGCAGACACGTTGTCACGCCCGCCAGTTGAGCCTGCCGCTCAAAAGCTCGAAGACGAATTCCCTTTCTTTGGAGCCGTAAGCATAACAGATGTAGTTACAAAGCAGTGAGCGGATGTTCAATTGCGACCTATAATTGAACATCTCGAGGGCCGTGATGTATCTCTACCCCCGCGTACAAGTCGCACATTGTCAACCTTTTGTATGCGACAGGGCGTGTTGTTCGTGTATGAATTGTCGAAGCCAATATCATTTGGCTTCGACAACTCATATCTAGAAAGCGTGAATTTTTTTATTCCGTATATATATGTAATAACAAAAATATTTGGAGCTTTTCAGAGCTCTATTCCACCTTGCATATCAATGAAAGGTGGAATAGTTCGCAATAATTCTGGTGCATAAAACATCTGCACAGAAGAGCCATTCAGAGAGCAAACACCCGTAGCAGCCAATGTCTGCTTGTTTAGATTCTGCACTAGCTTTTCGCCACTACCGTTTCCTAGCATGCTAATCACTACAGCTGTCGTGTGTAACCATGTACTCAAATATGATACGATGAAAATTATAGGGCCAGATAACATACGTGTTATATTTTGAGACAATATTCTTAATGAACCACTTGGTATTTATCAATCATTCTTTCAGTCCATTTAACCACCTAGTTTCCATATCTCTGAAAAGGTTACAAGGTTGTTCTCGTACATGAGTACGATAAAACACGGTGTTCTAGTGGCTAAGGCACTCAGCTGCTGATCCGCAAGTCACGGGATCGCACCTCAGCCGTGGCGGCCGCATTATCAATAGAGACGAAAAAGCTTGAGGCCTGAGTGCTTAGATTAGGGTTCACGTTTAAAAACCCTAAATGATCGAAATATCTAAATGCCTCCACTATGGTGTTTCTCCTAATCATATAGTGGTTTCAAGACGTTAAACCCCAACAAAAATGTACATAAGAATGGAAATAAACAGGTAGTGTGCAACTCTAGACCTATTTTATTATCTTGTAAAGAAATGCAGCACATCATCCATAAACGTGTCATCTATGACGGGTCTGAACATAAAATTGTCTCAACGACTGAACATTGCTTTCGTTGTGGTTTTTCGATGGTAACACAATTACTAAAGTTTTCCCATGATATTGCATCCCAACATAATAGTAAAGCAACGCCTGATGCAATTTTCATTTACTACAGTAAAGAATTTGACACAGTAAGTAATATTAAACTTTTGACTAAACTCGGGGCAATATTTCACGACCCAAACATTTAGGCTGCATAAAGGACTACATAAGATAGAAAATCTGATTTGTTACATTTAACCAAGTTTACTCCTCTTAGGTCAATGTCACATTCGATTCACCACAGGTAACTGTTGTGCGCCAATTACTCATCATCTACATAAATAACGTTGTTAAAGCATACCTAACGATGAATTTATTGAGTCATAATGCCAAACTGCGTTCACCGACGAGCTTTGTGTACTTTTGTGATATAGTAAGATGTTTTTCGATGTATATACTCTGTTTTCATATTGTAGTTCTAGTGTAAGTATGTTGTACTCATTCGTGCAATATCTTGCTATGCAAGATGGCAGTATGTGTTAATATAACTTAAAAATGTGAATAAAGTTTTACTCTTCCATTAAGAAATTATGGGATCAATAGCGGTCAAAAAAGGGTTGCACCAGGCTTCAACCAACGTTTTGACAAAGAACATGTCTCAGTCTCCGAGGTCATGGAGATAAAAAACAAGTCCTTGGGCATATCGGAATAGTACTGAGTTTAGTACATATATTCTCAAAAAGTGTATTTATACATCGCAGAATGTGTAATCCATTCTCATTTCTAAGCAAAGCGAAATATAAATGGCTAAGGAATTCGTGCTATACCAACGCAGTGGCTTTTTTTATATTATTTCGGATGTGCTTCTGATGCCGCTCGGAAATCGACGTCCGGTAAAATGAGGAGCTTGTCAAATGATTGACTTCTTTGTGGGGTTTCACGTCCCAAAACCACCATATTGTTATGAGAGACGCCGTAAATGAGGGCTCCGAAAATTTTGACCACCTGAGGTACTTTAATGTGCACCAATATCTGAGCACACAGGCGTACAACGTTTTCACCTCTATCGAAAATGCAGCTGCCGCAGCCTGGATTTGATCCCGCGACATGCGGATCAGCAGCCGAGTACCTTAGCCACTAGACCACCACCGCGAGGCAAGCTTATCAACTGTGGTTTATTAAACAAGCCTCCATCACGTGACGCCGTGAACGCAGGTTCTAGTGCTAACGAATGAAGAGCAGTGGGCATTTTTTCAAACAGGTGTATTTAAGATGAGATTGATAAAATAATGCTTTGCCCATATCAAGATTGAGTCACATTACATGTATTCATATTTTTTCGCAGGGTCCATAAGTACTAGTATTCCTTAATCAGTTGTTCAATATTATTTAGCAAGGGTTACCTGGCCCCTGCTTACAAACATTCAGTGTGTTTGTAAGCAAGAAATAAGAACGTATGTATGGTACATGGATATAGGGACATTCTTTACGTTTGTGAACGATGCATCCTTTAAATAAACAGAGTGGCGAACTATCATGTCGCGTATTGCACTTCAAAAACGAGAAAAACAACAAAAAAACTATATGAAATGTGAATGTGGTAAGTTGTCTCTGAAATCGAAACGACCCCTTCTGTAGCGATTGGCAGGCATGGTACCTCCAGATAGCTTGTGCTACCTGCAAAGATTGCTTGTAAAAACATTATGTTTTATTTGACCTCTATCAAATTCTTATGTCACCGAACATGCATTCAGCGATACCACAGTCTTGCGAATTTCTCCGTGGCACATACTTTCTGTTGCAAAAAAAATGGTGAGCTTCAAAAGACTTTTTGGTGGTAGCTACAACAGAACTAGGGTGCATACTAAGCATTTTGTTTGTCTTGCGAACATAGATGTGGCCCTGAAGTTTCAATACTTGTAACTTTCCGATGCATTTTCATTCATTATTGTTTTGTTAGCCTTTACCTTATCCTAAGTGCAAGCGACCATCGAAGGAAAAAAGAGAGTGCTTTCACCACCTCCCCCCCCCCTTTTTTTTTTGGAGTCCTTATCATTTTCCGGGTATAGAAGTTTTTTTTTTTTTTCGAATGAGACGTGAACTGTCTTTTGAACGTTAAGGAGCACTAGAATCACCGTGTGCACTGGCGCGCGAGCGGGTTTGTCACGTGATATTTTTTTTGTATTTTGCCGGCATTTGTAATGAGCAGAAAAACACTAATACTAAATAGATGGAAAGCTCAAAACTGTTTAATCGGACGTTTTGCAAACTGATCTACAACTTTCTCGTAGAATTTTTTTATTTATCTTTGTTCCTTCAATGGTTAGTTATTTAAACAAATCTAATGAAACAATATTCTAGAACAGAAGAAAATAGTCCGAATAACTCTAGGCAATGGTTAGCGAAATGCATTGGCTTATGTTTAACTCTGGCTAATATATATATATATATATATATATATATATATATATATATATATATATATATATTTATTTATATATACATATATATATATATATATATATATATATATATATATATATATATATATATATATATATATATATATATATATATCTATATATATATATATATATATATATATATATATATATAAGGGATAAGGGGAGGGTCGCTGCCCGCTCATAATAAGTTCACGTGCTACGTGACGCCAAACATGCGAATAAGAGTGTTTTTCACACTCGTTATTCGGCTTATAGATGGCGCTGACTGTCACTCCTACTTCTAAATTCACATATAAAACCCAAAAAAGTGGATGGAGGGAAGGCCGCTGTGATAGCTCAGTGGTTAGAGCATCGAACGCGTTATTCGAAGGTCGTAGGTTCGATTCCTGCTCACGGCTGGTTATTTTTTCATCAACTTTTCTTTCTTCTTTCTTTTTATTTTACATTCCATTAGTTCTAATAACTTCCCCTGTACATTCCTTGGCATTACTGTCTGTTAGATATCATTAATATTGTGTTAAAACACGGAAAAACGAGCCCTTAGGCATACACTTCTTTCCCTTTTATATATATATATATATATATATATATATATATATATATATATATATATATTTATTTATTTATTTATTTATTTATTTTATATATATATATATATATATATATATATATATATATATATATATATATATATATATATATATATATATATATATATATATATATATATATATATATATATATATATATATATATATATATATATATATATATATATAGTTATAAACTTCGAGAATAGTGCAGTATAGAAAACAAAACAATAAAATATTTATTTATTATTTATTTAATCCTAACAGTTTCGGCTGGTGGACCAGCCTTCTTCGGAGAATGTAAGTCGTAAGTTTTCACTTACATGCTCCGAAGAAGGCTGGTCCACCATCCGAAACTGATAGGATTAAATAAATATTTATTGTTTTGTTTCCTATACTGCACTATTCTCGAAGTTTATAACTTTTATTACGGTAACCGGAAGAAAATCTGATCATCTATTTCATCTATATATATATATATATATATATATATATATATATATATATATATATATATATATATATATATATATATATATATATATATATATATATATGAGGGGGAGGGGGGATACGTTTATATGTGCTCATACGTAACATCATTCGTGAATACCGCAAACATTTCGGTGACAAGAATTATGCTCTCTCTGGATTGCAAGAGCTCGCTTCTGAACATTCAACAAAGACTATAGCCAAGTCACTAGATCTCTAGGCATTAACCAATAAAACAAAAGATGATGCAAATGCAACATTGCTTACTTCTCATAACCCAGGGGTCCAAGTTCCGGATGCTGCGCATCAACCTCAAGAGGCCAACCGTACAGGAAGGTGAAAGGTCCGCCTGTAGCAGCCGCTGAGTCATACCACTGTCTTGGTTGTTCAACATATTGCCCACGAATTCCTTTAGTTTGTCTATCAGCCCTGGAGTTGGGCTCTCGGGGACCGCACACGCGCACGGCAAGGCTACGTAGCCCACTACGGTGCACAGGAGGAGAACACGCAGTGTCTTCATGGCTTGACTGCAGTATAGTCTCACACTTCTTGCTTGAACTCACAGAATTCTTTTGGGGTATTTTAGTGCTTTACACGAAAATGAATTTTTCAATTCCCTGACTAAAAAAGTGCCTGCATGGCAAACTTCAAGGCAAACGTTTCACCTTAGAGCTTGCTAGGAGAGCAAATTTCAACGCCAAATGTATATCCTAAAGTAAAATAAAAAACGTGTCAGCAGGCGTGCTGCTTCATGGATAACTTCGGCTCTTTCATCACTGCTGTCGTCTCAGGTGAAGGGAGAGCCCGTCCGCTGATAAAGCTTCTGTCGGAGCTGACCCAGTCGCGTCAATTTCTACGGGCGATTCTCGGTCTCGTGGCAACCCTATATAGCCTCCGTCATCCACCCGGTCAAAGGGAAAGGGCCATCGGCCACCACACGCGTGCCTAACGGCGTCATTACCGAAAAGGGTGAGGGTGGAGACTGCGTGCTTGAAGTGTGGCCTGGTGAAACGCGTGCTACGTGACGGGTCATCTGGCGTCGCGCCTTCCCCGTAAGGTCCTTGACGGGGAGCCCGGCACCGCTCCGGGTGCAGCACGTGGAGTACGCACGTATCACCTTCATAACGTAGTCAGCACCTCGTAAGCATTAGTCCGTTTCCTCCACTTTCGACATCGGCGCCTGCGTAAATGATTGGGCGCTTACCACTTGCGCAATGGCACTGGTGATGACTAAAGAGGCAGGAAGACTTTCATTTTCACCAATCTTTTGTCCTTGATCACATCAGACACATTTGAAATAGATGGTACTGCATGCGTTTTGAACAAACGTGACAGCCACGGAGCAACCAGATCATCAAATATACAACCAAATTTTTCACCAGTTAACCTGTCGAACAGGAGACTAATGGGTATCAATGCAATGAGTTGTTGAGCGAAATAATTGCTGGCTTTGCTAACCAGTCACTTAAATAGGGCGGTAGTAATCGCACTCATTATTATTAAGCAACATTTGGCTATGGTGTTCTGATTTTTATGATTTGACTGCGCGTGCAAATGTTTTCTGAGTTGTCTGCCTGGTCATCGCGAAGAATGTGTTGACTTAGTAATACGCATAATATCACATCATCTTCCAGGGAAGAATACACCAACCCAAGCGAAGCTACTGACACCCTAGCAGTTATAAAATATAAGTTGGATGAAATGCAGTGCGATTGAATAAAATTTAGTCATGTCACTGGGTCGTGGCGCGGATGAAGGGATCAGACTGGATACTCAGATTATTTGCTAGGTATATGTTAACTGGTAGCGTAACTTCCATACAAGTCCATGGGTCCAGTAGTTGGCGGCTTGTTGCCACCATTGCCATCTTCGTGAGGAGGGGACAACTATATAACAGCAAAAAATAATTAAAGAAACAAATATGACGTCACCACCGGAAGCGGTAGCGACGCCGCGCTCGAAATTGAATTTTTTTTCATTGCAGACCTTTTACGTGTTGTTATTATACGCGACTTTATTGCGCATTGTGGCTCGCTAATTAGGTGTAGGAGAGAAAAGAAACAAAAAAACTGAGCGAAGTTGTTTTATTAGCGAAATGACGTGCTCACAATATACACAAATAACTTCGCAAAAGCAATTGTGAGGCAAGTGTTCACGAACACAATAGCATAATAGCTCGAAAACTCACGTTGTGCATTCGTCGAAAACCATTGCTGCGAGACAGAAGCTTTCAAAATGTAGCTTTGGCACTCTTATAGTACAGTGTCTAGTTGCTTAGCATGTCGCGTTTACCGTCACCAAAGGCGCGGGCACGTCGGCCGTGTGTCAGCGAAAGTAATCGGCAATCACAGGAGCGGCTATCTACACATTCTGTCTGAAGTGTCACACCAGCAGGCAACACATTAAAATAAGTAAACTACTGAAGGCACGCACGAAACCACTACCGAAAAGTGAGCGATGCCTCGTTCAACTGGTAATGTGACGAACCAATGCCACCTATATAATTTCAGGCCTGTTCACTGTTTCTGCCACAGGCTCTGATGGCACTACGCTTGGACCACCGTCTTTTGTTGCACAGACATGCCTACGCTTGCTCTCTTCGCTCGACAGACATAGATTGCCAAGCCTGACGAACGTTTTTGTGGCGTGCTGATGTGCTTGTTGGCGACTCGAGAAGATCATGCTTTTCTGTGTCCGTGAACTGCCACGTAGATATCTGATGCTTTTTCTGCACTGGATATTCGCAATCTGTACGGCTGCAAATCCGAATGGTTGGGCGATGCTGCGTGGTGAATTTTCACGGCAAATGGACTGAAGTTGCGAGAGTTCTCGTTTCCAAAAGACAACCGAAGAACGAAATGGAAGCGTGTCGTTGGTCGAGCTGACGTCGACATCTGTTTTCTTAGTTACCCGAAGGCACGTGTGTCCATACCTCATATTTTGAAGTCAATCTAATGGCATCATCTCCACCCTGTTCTGTTCTTGCTCTAAAATAAAGGTGCTGTGTGTGCTTCTGACTTGTTAGCGTAAGACTTAGCATTAAAATATTGAACGCGCGTGGCAGTACATTTTCAGAAGAGGCATTTTTCATTCAGCGTCGATGAACATTTTGATATTGGTGATAGCCACCTCGGATTTTTTGCATTACCTCAATTTATTTGATTGAAAAGAAAAGGAAGGCATGCTGTTGCATTCCTTGGTGTAGGGAATTCGTGAATATTTTTTATTGCCTGTGTTTGAACCACTTCAGTGCAGTATTATAATTTTGCGCCAGTGTCACTAGCACCTTCGCCTCATACGTTTCCTTGGAATTGAGATGCCTGTAGAGACTTGCGGTAAAGTGCTTTCTTGAATGATTTTCAGGTGCACATGTGTGTGCTCTACTGCAAGCTAGAATATTTGAAAACCGCTACGAAATATGACAATGCAAGTACCTGCAAAGCAGTAAATGTGCCCATGGGGGCTACACGGTTTAATCTAGACCCAATAATATTTTCTCCAGGCCTATAAGTTATATGAGGGACTACGCACTCTTCTGAAAGGGGCCAGAGCAAAAAAGAAAACGCCACTCATTGTGTCCGTCACAAGATATTTTTGTGCTACGAAAGATTTTGTTTCCTCTTGCAATGATCATCACCCTGATATTCTGCTGAAAAGCATACTTGTGGCAGCAGCACACTCTCCTAAACAAGTACGCGTCTATGAAGACATATGCTCGAAATAGTACAAATAAAACTGCAGAAACTTTGCAAATGAGTAGTAGCCGTTTTTTGCTTGTTCTAGCGTGTGTGTGTGTGTGTGTGTGTGTGTGTGTGTGTGTGTGTGTGTGTGTGTGTGTGTGTGTGTGTGTGTGTGTGTGTGTGCGTGTGCGTGTGCGTGTGCGTGTGCGTGTGTTCAAAATAAAACAGCATGAAAAAATTTACCTTAATAATTTCATCACTTTGCTGAGCCATCAAATTTTCCTCTTATAGGTCGATCAATGTGTTCGACAGCGCACAATGCTTCTCACTTTCTTGTGGAAGAAATGGCTCGCATATACATCTCCAAACGCAGACAAGCGTAATATATTACTTAAACATGCGCTTTTTTTTACTAAAAAGGAACAATAAAGTTGTTAACCCACTAAATCTTGCCGCGAACGTTTTATCTTTCAATGGGAGACGATGGTGGCAATGAATTCCCAGCCTCCCGTATGCGGGCTCACTCGAGCAAAACGAGTGACGTCACTGCGGCAGTAAGCAGGCCTGAAATGATCTTTCTAGGTGGCATTGGCCAAACTAAAGAACACGTTGAACTAAATTCAAGCTCTGATAGCAGACCGCCTGGATATGCCCCCCCCCCCCCTCACCACACGACGAAAAATTGAGGCAATCAACCATTTAGCCAGGTCTGAGACACACCGTAAAGTAAGTGTATAGTTGACTATGTCATATATCAAATTGTGACTATTTTAAGGAAAAAATCATATTGAGTTTTTAGCTTTGTTTGTTTGTCTCCTGCTCACCTGCAGTCGCGCTTCAATTGCCACGCGGTTGTTGATGTTGGTCGCGATAGGTTTCCGACAACTTTTCCTTCCGACTTTTACAACCCATTTAGATTGACCTTGTTATTTGGCCGAACTTGTGGCCACATGAAAAGAAGGTCAAATTACAGCAAGACACTGGCACTGATAGCGGCGAACAGAGCGTCATCCATCGATGAACTGACAAGTGGCGAAGCGCGTCGGCGTTTATTCCCGTGACGTGGAATATTCTAGCTTTATCTCTAGCGGTCACATTGCCGATCAGAATGATCGGCAATCTTCACGAAGTGGGCGTAGTCTTAACAAAACGTTCTACTGCAGTCCTGAAGCTTCTCAAACGCTGCGAGCGCAGTTTGCGCTGAGAAATACTCACAATAAAACAGGGGGATAACAAAACTTGAGAAGTGAAGGTGGCATTCTATCTATTTCTTCCACCCTGTCAAAGTTAGGTCTTTGTAAGCGCAACTGCTTGGAAGAGGTGATAGGCTGGTGTTGGATGTGCGTCTGATATCTCTTTTAATGAAGCAACGAGACGTGTTACTAGGGTTAGTGTCTAGAAATATACTGCCTAATGTGCTGAGCGTGCGCATTCCGTACGAGAGTGGGTGGCCGCATATGTGATGACTGCACTCAGATGCCACAAGCGGCGCTGCGTGTCGAGAGGGTACACGAAGGCGCGAAATTCCTCTCGTCCTGTTGCTGCCGGTGCCTCGCCACGTTTAAAATCAGTATGTGACAGCTGCCATCTGATTTACTGTGAAGTTTGACGGCGCCATACGTACACTGCAACGCCCTGAGATGTTAAAAGCTAAGCGGCAATGCAAAGAAAGGACGTGTATTGTGCCGCTGTGTCGAAGCAGTTATCGGTCGAACAAGGAAATTGTGTCTTGTTCCCCGCACTAACGCATCCAGCTCGGTTTCCTGAATGAAAAAGCAGGATCAAGAGGGCAGACAGAAGGCTGAATCCGAAGGCTGTCGTGTGGGAATAGCATTCTGAGAGTGACTCCCCCGAACTATCTTTTCAGATCAGGGTGAACGGTGTCGGGAATGAAATCGCGGTTTGGGTAAAATTTCAAATAATATTATTTATCTAAAAAATCTAAAATACCCTTTCGAGTTTCATTCACACAGTTTTTCTCCCATGTCAACGTCGGACTCCCTTTCCAACAATGTTTTGAGTATCATATGCGCCGAGTGTCAGATTATTCATTGGCATGTTATCATTCTTTTTCACTCGAATTCTAATGGAATGCGGGCTAACAGGTAAAGGTTTTAGGGTCTTCTGTGATAACTCTTGCTCCCAAGAACAAAGCACACTTTAAA